GAGTTAACCAAATACCCGCTAAGGAGAGAGCATGCATTTTACGCTAAAATGCACGGTTTTGTTGATGGTCGGCAGAGTTTCCAAACTTTGGAGTCTCGGGAGTTCTGCGTTAAGAAAGTTTCCAGCAGGTTTGGTTGGATGCACGGAGCCACAGAGGTCGCAGTGGCTGTAGTTGCTGCATGTGAATCATGTTCTCGTCAAATTCCTCACCAATTCACAAATATATGAAAAACATTTCAAATTTTATTAGCCCGCTTAGCAATTTTCAATTCTTTTTCTTTTTCTTAATCTCAGTAATAAACAATTAAAAGATAGTTTTAGCCATGGCGCTGTCTTGTCCCATAACAAGTCTGTGTTGTAATCGGTAAAGGCCTCTCTAAAACTAGCGCACTCGCACTGGAGGATTAGGACAGCCAAGTTCACAAATCAGAAGCGCAGGATCGAGCACGACATCGAAAAGAGCCAAAGAGGGCAGAGAAGCCGGAGCCCACGCAAGGACCGACAAGTGACAACCTTTCCTTTTTTTTTTTTTTTTAGAATGACAAGTGGCAACCTATATATATATGCTGATTACCACAACCAACAACCCAACCTTCAAGTCAACAATGGCACCGCACGACGTACTGTAGTAGCATATCGCATCACCCATTGTCCATCTGTTTGCTCGCTTCAAAGCCTCAAACACACGGCGAGGCCACTTGGTCCGCTGCAGCTAGCAGCAGTGGGGCGGGCGGTCGAGCGCGCAGTTATGCTGAAAAGCAACGGGTAACCGGCGCCGCGCCCAGGTCCAGGCGGCCAGGGCCGCCCAATTATTAGCCCAACCCCCTTTGTTAATTCTGCCGGTTGCCCGGCTCGGCGGCTCGGGTGCAGCCCCCCGGCGACCCGCTCTTTGGCTCATCGTCCCCTCGACGAGGATCCGCGACCGGCCTTCCCGTCCCAGACGACCGTTTCGTCGCGGCCGTGCACGCATGATGCATGGATCAGCGTCCGTCCGTCCGAGTGCCGTTTCTTGCTGCTTGCGATGGAAGGAAAGGGGAGCTTCATTTATTTATGCTATGCACGCTGCGGCCGTGCCAACACTAGCCAGTCGCAAGGTATTTTGCTACCACAGCTGCCCCATCTCCATCATTTGCCCACTGTTCCAGCAGAAAAGGTCCAGGCTCGCGATCTGGATCATCACACGCGTGCACGTTGCATCTCACGATGATAGTTGCACTCGCGCCACAGCCCACAGCCATACATACAACTTGGCCCAAATCAGGCCGATATATGAGGAAGGAATCTGATCTGGACACGTGTGAGGACGAGTTTTTTTTTTCCTTTCATTTCGGGCGTGGCGTCTTAACGTTTTCTCAAAGAAATTGACTCCTTCTGGAACCCAGGTCAGCAAGCCACTTTCTCTCTCTCCCCTCCCTGCGACGACCAGTATGCACCCGTGTGGTACAAGCCGTGAAGCCGACCAAAGTAACTGGTCTGCGAGTATGAGCAATTGTTTTTAGTTTTTACTCTCAAGAGGAAATTGTTTTAAGTTTTCATCCGTGTACTACCAGATTGTAGTAGACTTGTATACGCAAACCCAGTCTCCCGAGCTGATCGCAGCTTCGCAGTCTCAGGTAACGTTACCTGAGCCGTGACGGCGGCGAATGAATATGCGTGGAGGCACACGGCTATCAGACAACCAACCCCCACCTAGACTCCGCCAACTCAAGTCTCGCGCGGCGCGAAGTCCTCTGGCCCCTCCGCGGCAACGTGCGCCGAGCCTGCGCCACACATGTCCCCGCGCCCGCGCACTGCTCCCCCTGTCCTGGTTTTAAAAAGACAGTGGTCAAAGAAGTGAACACGCCCAGCGCCGGTCCTGAGTTTTCACACACCTGGAGCGAAACTGGCAACCAGGGCCTCTCAACATAAACATAGTACTAGTAGTAATAATACTTAGTAGATTTTTTACTTAGTAGATTTGTAAGCTTGTTAGAGTTTGGCTTAAGACGAACTAAAAACAACTTACAACGGAGCAAAAAGGACCTGCAACAATGTCTTAATGACGAAAAACGCTCAATGAATCACATAAACATCCTCATACGATTAGGTTTGCTGTGGCCTTTTTATGGCTGTGTCAATCGTTGATCTTGCAATAAACACTAGAAATGACTTTAATTGGATCCCAAATCTCAGTTCTAAAATGTGATTGAAAGATTAAAAGATAGATTATAGTGCAGTTTTTTTCGCAGGGGAAAGTCGGCAACCAACACGTATCTACCAGTGCAAGCAATATCCGAGTATTGATGGACGGTGCTATGACGTCCTCTGCTCAACTATATAAAATACGTATACAGAACACATACCTGCTGGCCGCTAATGGGCCCCTTGCGTTAGGGGCCTGGAGCGTGTGCCCCGCTCGCCGTGCCCCAGGGCCGGGCCTGAACACGCCGATCATCTTTGGTTAAGACGCGGACCACCGAAAGACGCGAGGTGGGAACAGCTGGCCTACCTCTCCTCCTGTCGGCCTTGATGCGGGCTCAAGTCACGCACCGACGGTCCATGGTTCAGGACGAGCAGGTGAAGAGAGAGGGTGATGAGTGAACTCGGGGGCTTGTGACGTGTTTGGACTCTTGTTATCTAGGCCATCCATCTCCCATATAGGGCCAGTGCTGTGCGACGTCGGCTGCCAGCAGCCGAAGCCTAAAGTTGCATCATATTCATACACCACGGTTGATACTAAGGGTACGTTTGAATATCCTTGGGATTTTGAAAATTGGATTATATCTGTAGGGTATTCAAACGGTGGAGTTTTTGGAAGGGAAAAGAAGATCTTATGGCTAGATTCTTACAATCCACGAGTCCCCTTGCCTTCAAAAAAAATCCATGAGTCCCCAGCTTCTTCAAGATTCTTCATCTCCTCAATCCTTAAAATACTTATAATCCATAGGTAGAATTCAAAGGTCCAAATGGATGGGGATTTTTATTATCCAAAATCTAGATTATAGAATCCCTTAAGATTCAAACTCTACCGGCATGCGTTGGCAGTGCTCCTGTTCGTACCCCAGCGCACAGTGGTGCAGACCGGCATCCCTGTTCCTGTCTATAGTTGTGCCGAGCAACTCTGCCCCTATGCTTCGGCCCCGTTCGCTTCGCTGAAAAAACAAGTCGAAACATTGTCTCCGCCTGATTTGTTATGAGAGAAAAACACTGTTCTGACTGAAAAAACAAGCTAAAAAGTACGGATTATAACACAAGTGAACAGGGCCGAAGTAGCTAGAGCCGTGCGCTGGATCAAACTCCCTCTCCTCCATTTTTAGACTAGGTCCACCGCTGCTTTGGGAAGATGACCCTATATTGTAAAATACACAAGTATAATTGAATTTTGTTGTAAATCAAATTGCATAAATTAATTTAAATTATAAGAAATATATTGATATTTTACATATCAAATGAATATCACTATGGAACATATCTATTATATCTCATCACAATAACTTTAAAAGTGGTCCTAATAGTTAAGAGATTATTAGAAGGTAACCTACAACGTTGAATTTTATGATGACCAAATAACTTATATTAAACAAATGATGCGTACCTAATATAATCAATAAATATTAAATCTGAACTAATAAAAGCTATTTGATTTACATACGAGTTCAAAAATATGCCTAAATAAAGAGTCCATGTAAAATAAAACTATACTAGTAAAAACAATTTTTGAATGAAAAACTATGAAATGTTAATAATTTGATCTACAACTGAATTTAAAAAATACCTAATAAATAGTTCATATACATTATAATTAGTAAATTTCTAATTTTAAATTAGAATTCATATAAAAATAGTTTTTATTTCTATATGTTGGAAAAGGCACCTAAATAAAAAAAAATTGTTGTTAAATAAAGTTTACAAATGATCATCTCTTCACTTTTATTTAAGGGTTAAAAAATGCAGTGTTGTTCCTATAGATTTATATTGTAACAACCTATATATCTACCATAAGATATAGTAAAAAATAAATAAGACTTCAATGCAAATAGAACATGTACGAAAAGAACTACTCATGTCATCTAATTTATAAGGTGCAATTTGGCATGGCACAATCTCATAAAATTGACTTTGACCACTTATTTATTTATATTATATTTTTAATGATTATGGATATTATATTGGAATATAAATTTAATTATATCAAGCTTGTACTGTAATAGTTAAGAAATAGTTTCAAAGTTATTGATTAAAGATTGTAAAGTCTGAATCTTCATATGTGTGATTGACTTATACACCTGGCGAGTACTAGTGTAGAATTCAATAGACATTACAAGCGGACTTTGTTATGTAATAAAGAAAAAGAAACCTAGAAGGATATAAAGAGACTTTTTGAGCTGCTAAAAAGCATTTCAGAAAATTTAGTGTATCGAAACATGATTATGTTTTTTTTTTCTTACAGGGCCACTTCAGGAAAATAGCTAATTTCTCAACTTCGCGAAACGTACTTCTAATTTTGGACCGATACCATGGTTCATGGGCCAAGAGAATGGATGGAATCACGAACGGCCCGTCACACTCACACACTCGCTGACTTACACTTCTAGCCTTCTTTCTAGGCCCAACACCACCCCGCACTCGGCCTCGGCAGTCACGCTCACGCACTCAGCGTGCGGCGTCGAGAACTGGCGGTCCTCGCCGCCGTTTTCTCCTCCCTTGCTTCCGCGCCGGACAAACGGGGAAGGAGGTGTTCGAACCCCCAAATCCCAAACCCTACATTCCCGTCCGCCGCCGTCCGGCCTTCGCTGGGCGCACTCGTCGCCGTCGCAGCATCCCGCCCCTCCGCGATCGTCTCGAGGTGAGCGCCGCGCTTCCGTCCTCCGCCCGAACCCTCTCGAAACCCGCATTTCACTTTGGTTGCGCCGTGCATTTCTCGCCCGAAAAATGCTGATAAAACAAAAAAAAATCTTGTTATAACCGTGGATTGATATCGTTTTATTAGCGCGTTTCGGGAAGGCGTTTGTTGCGGCGCGATGGAGCTCTCGAAGCAGGCGCGGGGCAGCGGGCCGGCTTCGCGACCGTTGCCTTCGGCGGCCCTCAATTCCAAGCAGCCCGCGAACCACGCCATGGTTGGCCCTGGCAACTGGGGGGCGCAGGTGCCGACCAGCGCCTACCTGATCGTGCCCATGGGCGGGCAGCCGGCGCAGGTTGGTGCGTCCAGTCCCAACGCGCGCACCTTCCTGGGGCAAGGCCTGCGAGTAGGGTGTCCTTGAGGCCACCGCAGCAGGTGCTGAGTGTCCAGCCGACTTTGCCAATGATTCGGGCATCACCAGCTCCGTCTGCTATGGGAAAGAAGGTGGCGGCATCGCCCAAGGTTCAGATGTTGCAGCCTGTCCCACCTGCTAGCAAGGGTTTTGTGCAAAAGGGGCCTCTACTGAAGGCACATCCACAGTTGTCTGACTCTGAGACCATGAGATCAAAGTTCAGGGAGAATCTAGTTGCTGCCTTGTGTCTGGATTCTGATCAGCAGATTGTGCAGAAATCTGCTGGAAATATTTCAGCTTTTAGATCTGCCTGTGAGAACAAGCATGCAGACGGTGATACATCGCACAAACCAAGCACATGCATAACCCTGAATGAAGGTAAAGCTGATACTGGTACTGGCCCCAAATCTGTTGGTAGCATAAGCGAACAACATGATGCGTTAAGCGGTGGAATTTTGGGATCAAACATGGCCATCAAAGTGAGTAAAGATGCACAGGAACAATCAATACATGTTTGTTTGGAAAATGATGTATCGGGTAACAGCACTGTTGCTTCAGATGAATTTTTGCAACACCATGGGCCTCTCTGTGCTCCTGACATTGTCGTTGGAGCTTCTGAATCCATTTCACCGCTTAATTCAAAGAGAGCCACACCTTCTGATACTGATGATGGGGCTACTGTACCTCTGAATGAGCCTGAGTTTAAAAGAACAAAGACTTCAGATGGTGTAACATGGGAACAGAAGGGTACAGTTCTAAAGGGGCAAGCTTTGGCACTTAGAATTGAAGAGGATCTGTTCAAACTATGTGGAGGGGTGAGTAAGAAATACAAGGAAAAAGGTAGATCACTTTTGTTTAATTTGAAAGATAAAAGTAATCCTGTGCTGAGAGGACGGGTCTTATCTGGTGAGATTACACCCAAATGTCTATGTTCAATGACTACTGAAGAACTCGCTTCAAAGGAGCTTTCGGCTTGGCGGCTGGCTAAAGCTGAAGAGCTTGGTAAGATGGTTGTTCGCCCTAATAGAGAAGTGAACCTTCAACGATTGGTGAGGAAAACACATAAAGGTGAGTTTTATGTTGAAGTGGAGGAGACTGATAGCATTTCAGTCGGGGATGAGCTCAGAGGTGATTTGCTTTCTCATATTCCATCAAAATCTATTAAAGGTCGAATCAAATCTGATGATGGAGTAAGTGTACACATGGGAGACATAGAACCTGATAACACTGTGCAAGATGGATTTGCTGGGATTGGCAACAGTAGTCTCTTGAGTAATTTAGAATGCGTAGCAAACAAGAAGACTGCTTTCATTCTAGAAAAAGTGCATGACATGAATTATACAGAGAATCTTCCAGAAATTATGTCTCTGGATGATTTCGTGGAGGCCCCTGATTCTGATATACCCTTGGAATGCCACTCCACTGAAACCGCACAAGATGATCCTAATTTTACTGACAGAGCTTTCCACACGTTGAAGCCAGAGAAAAATCATATAGGGGAGGGTAATGCTGCTCCATCAGAGTTCGAATTTACATTTGTTGCACCATCACCACGAGATAATTGTCAGGCTGGCATAAGATCACCCAAAAATGGATCAATTCGCACCTTGAGTCCGGCTAAACAACCTAAGGGAAGTTTGTTAATCAAATCTTCCCCTGAAAAGATGCATTCTGAAATACCTGATACTGGATGTGATATGCAGTCAAAGGCAATTTCTCTATGGGAGGGAACAATTCAGTTAAATTTGTCTTCACTTATAAATGTTGTAGCTATCTTCAAAAGGTTTGTTTTTCCTATGTTGCTTGTAATTAATGTAGGTGATTAACTAAAACAATATAGCTCCCATATTTTAGCCAAATAAAAGAACATTATGATTTATAACACAGATTAATCCCCCTTTTATATATAAACTTGTATGCTACATTTCATTTTCGAAAAATGCTTGTACTAACACACATCTTAACATTCTGTTATCATATCCTAACTCCCTCTAATGTTTCTATTTTGCAGTGGTGAAAAGCCATCAACAAATGAGTGGTGCCACTTTGTTGAGATCAAGGGAAGAGTGAGGCTTACTGCTTTTCAAGACTTCCTTGAACAACTGCCTAAATCCAGGAGCCGTGCTGTAATGGTAACTTATTTCTGTGCTTAGTTTCATATATCTCAAATGGTGATTTTGGTTTTTACTAAAATTAGTATTTATCAGTTGGCCCACATCCTTGTTGGTTTTGAAATATATTCTTTCTTGTAGTTGTAGTAGTTGCCTTGAAGCATTTTTTTTTGCAACCTTTAATAGGTGTTTGTAATGCCACTGAATGCATATTCATCCTGCCTGTCAATTTGTGCTTAGGCTCAAGTGTATCTTCATTGAAATCAGTGAGTTCACTCACAGCCTGGGAATCCATAAACTGGATGATTGGATGTTACCGTTCTTTATCCAGTTCTGATCAACATGTGTTGCATGTTGGAAAATACCTTTTTGCTTTCAGTCTTCACACCAAATACATGTTATTATGTTAATGCAGGTGATGTTTTCTGTTTATCCTGTATTTGTTGCATTGTTTTGTCCACCCCCCCCCCCAACACACACACACATATTCAACACCACAGAATGTGCTTTAACATGTTTCTCCTGAAAGAGAGAGTTTGCTCAACCTTGCTATGCACATCAAATACCGTGCAGAACAGCACATATATAAGTTCTTACAAATAACAAATTGGAATGAACAGAAGCGGTAATGACTTACCCTGGATCATCTAATATTAAATTCAGCAACTACCTGGTTACCTCCATTTTTAGGTTGTCCTAAACTTCATATATTTAAAAACAGTGGGAGTACTACAATAAGCATTTTTTGCATTGCAGCTATACTTTTCTTGCCTACTTTAAAATTCAGGACCACCTACTGTCTGTGGGCTCTATGTTTAATTGGTAATTATGGCAGAAATCAATTCCTTGAAATTCAATCTAGAAACAAAGAAGAACCAAGCAACCATGCTCCAAATTGCACAGATAGATGTGCACATGCAAATTGCTTGTCTGGAGTCTAGAGCAAAAGACCAAAACCTCAATAGGCATGCTTCCCAAAAGGAGTACATATAAGTCTGTTAGACCTGGTTGGCCCTTGTTGGTCTGTCCTACTATTTTCTAGTAATACTATTTAGAGTTAGCCCGTCTGGGCGGCTTCTTGAACTGCTATTCTTTTTATCGCCCCCAAATGCTTTTGACAACAAAGCTGATAATAAATGTTCCTACATTCAGAACTTAGAGCGCGCCACCGATGCCCGGTGGCATTCATTTATCACTATTTGGCGGGTAGAGTTAACTGGCAGCGCGAGCGACTAAAAAAAAATGGAAGGCATTGGTAAGCGGCGCCGCCGCCTCAGCCCTTGGTGGTCACGGCGTCTCATCTGGTCACTGTATTGCCCGCGGTTTAATTTTCTTTTGGCTTACATGTGGATCTATGGTGGCAGAACTTTCGGCGACGACCTCATACCAGGGCGTCGATGCGATTGCGGCATTGGCATGTTTAATGGGCCCAAATTGCGCCTGCACGGGCGTGGCGGCGAGGCTGCTCCGGCCCCCTTTCCTCCGGATCCGGCCATCCCGCCTGGTTCGAGTCGCGGTCTCCCCGCATTGCACAGGCAGGCGAGGGTAAGGCTTGCCACTAACACCTTTCTCCAGACCCCGCACAGAGCGGGGGCTCTCTGCACTGGGTACGCCCTTTAATGGAACCAAATTGCAATCACATTTCATTTACACCTTGAATAAAACTCTAGAAGTTATGTGTCATGCTTTGCTGACTATATACATATATATGCTAACTTGGTTACCAAAATTGTCCTGTAGCTGTTTTTTGCTCTAGCTCTTCAGAATGTGTTCTTTCCTTTTACTATCATTTGTTCTGCAGGTAACTGAGTTGCGTTGGAAGGAGGGTTCTCATGAAAGTGGTCGGCAGCAATTCATGCAGGTCTCTGTTCTCAATCATTATCATCTGTTTACCACTTTATATGAGTCCAGCAGTCCAGCTCAACACTAACAACAACTTACATTCCTGCAGACAATTGACTCATATATTGCAGATGAGAGAGTAGGACTTGTAAAGCCTGCCAAAGGGGTGGAGCTCTACATATGCCCTTCTCAAGGGAAGACAGCTCAGGTTCTCGCGGAACACCTGCCAAAGGAGCACTCGGGGTTCCTAACTGTGACCGGAGGAGTACCTGTTATTGGTGTCTTTGTGTGGCGGAGGCCCCATGTTTCTACCCAAACACCCACAAGGCATGAGGGTTCCAAGGTGCAGTCTATGCCCGTCTCAAGGAAGCAGCAGGCTGTGATTGCTACTTCAGTGCCCATGTCTCCCCAGCTTACCAAACCAGCCTCCCAATTTGTCAACCCCAATGAGCATCATTGCATTGCGTATGATGCTACTGACGATGTTCCTCCGGGCTTTGGCCAAGGTGTCGTCAAGGATGACAATGACCTTCCTGTATATGATTGTACTAGTATCTCAAGCAGATCCCTGTCCCCAAATGAAGCTATGCCATATTCCTACCGGAGGCAGCAGCATGGGCAGGCTCATTCTCCCCCAATGGACCTAGTCAGGCAGCTGGTTCGCAAGTATGGCGGAATGTATGATTCAGCCCAGCCTTGGGACCGCAACCATGATGACTTACCAGAATGGGATCCAAGCTTGAGTGGCCTCCCGTATAATGCAACGCAGCAGCAGCCTGTTCTGCCAAGTCCCTTGTCCCAGGTTTACACTCTGCCTCAGGAACATGCGATGACCGTGCAGCGGCCCTGGAATCACCGTGCTGAAGCTCTGTCCGTGCAGCCTGGCTGGCAGTCCAGACCTCAGTGGCAAGACATCCCGCAGCGGACCAGGTTAGCTGTGGAGCCCGACGTGGGTGTGCCCAAGCCGACCTCACTGAGAGTGAGTGGAGCCAGGGAGCCATGGTTTGGAAGTTGGAAGCCGCACTAGCAAGTAGTTGATCGTGTCTGGCCCACATTGCTCCGGAAATCCTGAACGGAACTTCCGCAGCCTCTGTCTACGAAGGATCGTGTACTCTCTTCTGATGTGACTTGAAACCAAAGCCTGGTTCTGTCGTGGCTAAGCACGGTCGCAAAAGAAAAGCTTGTTTCTGCTGTTCTGTGCTATTTCTAACGTTCGTGCTGTGCGATGGTTTGGATTTCCATGTCTAGAAATGATGTCCATGTTTGGTTCTCTTTCTCTCTGTATGTAGGAAGAAAATTGCCTTAGGTTACTCTATATTGGCCCCGTTTGGCTTTACCTTAAACCGCTTGTTTTGCTTTTTTTTTTTTCAAGTAATGTGTTTTTTCTCTTACAACAATTCCAATCGTAATAGTTGTTTCTACGACGGTTTCAGCAAGTTTCTAACGGGTAGTTTCCAAATTTCGTCAAATATAAAATTTGTCATTGTTAATTGGTTTCACAACCATTTTAACCATTTTTTTTACTCTAGATATTAAAATGTAGAAATATTTCGAACCGGCCGTTTCTATTTTCTATATTATAATACGTTTCGGATGGTTTTCATCCTTACCGGCACCACCGCACCGCAGAGGAAAGGCGAACGGCCATCCCGCACGCGTCCCTACGACCCCACTGGCTCGCTTTGACGCAGCGGCGCTCCACCGACAGATTTTTGTACACTTCCGCCGTCTCCCGAGCACAAGATTACGGCGTCCGATCCGACCGACAGGCTGAAATCCGCGTGGCTTTGCTCCCGATTCCCGAAATCCCGATCCTGCTATGGCCGAGGGATCGCGAGGCCGAGACAGCGAGCAAGCACACGCACTGACGAGTAATAACATAACCCGAAAATGCCAAGTGAAGTAAGCAACGATCCGGGTCCCTCAACCTTTTTTTCCGGTCCGTTCTCGAACCATGACGCATTGTAGGCCAACTACACGCACTTCTGGAGCTCAACAAACCGAGATTGCGACGCCTGGACAGGTTCGTTACACCACACATCAACAACCTCCCAGGATGAAAGCAGTGACAAACAACAGATGCATCGCTTGGACTCTTTCTAGCACCATTACTGCATCATTTCCAATTGCTTAAGCAAGAGGGAAAAGCAGAAAGTGGCTCCCCACCTACTCATTGATATGCTCCTTAATCACATATACAACATGTAAAGGGCAACGAATTTCCATCGGTGGAAGGAAGTCGAAGGAAGAATAAACAATGCTTCGCATTACAGGCACGCAACATGTTCATGGTGATGCAAGTCGCGAACCGAGTGTAGCTCCTTGGGTGGAACCTGTGCATCCGGGGTTCTAGGATTTAACTGTGCTATTCTTGTGCTAGGTGACATTGAGATGCCTAGGGCGTGCATTCGTAGGGGCGTCTGTGACTAGATCTTGCAAAAAAAATAGTAGAGCGTAGTATTTTTTTTTTATTATTCCCAGTCAACTACCCAATCATGGATACAGCAACGAACGAACGAATTAAATTATGCAACTGGATTAATAACAATAATAACAAGTGCGCTAGTAGAAGCATAATGATCAGTCGAGGCGCATCATGTCCTTGTGGAAGGCGTCGACGGCGTCGGCGGCGACGCACTGCGTGATGAGCCGCGCGCCGGGCTTGTGCGCGGAGGGGCGGACCAGGATGCACGTCGCGATGTAGTCCAGGTTGGTGAGCGGGACGACGTGCACGGGGCAGCCCCACCCGTAGTCCACCTCCGCGAACCCCAGGCGCGACCAGTCCGACACCAGCAGCGTGCGGTAGTCCGACGTGATCCGGTACGGATCCACCCCGCCGTCGGTGTCCCCCGCGCTCCACCGCGCGAACTCCGCGGGCAGCCGCTTCTTGCCCTCGCGGATGAGCCGCACCACGTCGTACACCGACGCGTCCGACACGGCCTCGGCCGGCGCCGACACGCGCATGATGTAGTAGCAGTTGCCGTAGAACCCGCCCGGGAGGCCGTGGCCGCCGAGGCGCGCCAGCGCCGGGCGCGCGTTCATGGCGAAGCACACGTGCACGGGGGAGCCGGGCGCGAAGCCCGCCGCGCGGGTGCGGGACTGCCACGCCTTGGCGATGAGCACCTCGAACGCGCTGCACCGCTGGCCGCCCGTCTGCTCCAGGAACCGGGCCTTGAAGTGCTCGATGTAGTCCGTGGAGATATCCATGGCGAGGTACTGCAGCCGGAGCTCCGTCGGGACAGGGAGCGGGCCCACCGCCGCGCCGGGAGGGTTCGGGATCGCCTCGCGGCCCCAGGCCGGGGCCACCAGCGGCGCCGCGTGCCCACGCGCCATGTCGCCGACGGCGGTCATGAACTGAGCCGCGCCGGGGCCGTCCGCCACCGCGTGGCTGAACCGGAACCCGACCACGAAGCCGCCGCACGCGAACTGCGTCACCTGCATTCAGGAATGGACGGCAATCGATCAGTCAAACGCCATGGCCGACGAGCCGTTGACTTCTCTTCTCTCAAGAACCAACCAATTGCTTCCAAAACGCACGCAAACGGGACACTAGGAAGGATTTTGGTGGTACCTGGACAAGGAGGATGAGCGAGTCCTCAGGGAGGGGGTCAGATTCGGGGGGATATCTGGGGTGCGGAAGGAGCTCGTCCTTGGGCACCATGAGCGGGTACTCGAGGTAGTCCACGTCCTCCAGGGTGCAGCTGGCCGCGGCCTCGATGAACCACACGCCGTCGCCGGTACAGTCCACCACCAGCTCCCCCTCGTTGGAGACCGCCAGTCTCCCGGCGATGGGGTAGTAGCTCACCAGCGCGGCGGCCAGCGCGCGCTCAATGGCCCTGGCGGGCGCCTCCGCGTCCGCGTCCGCGTCAGCGCGGCCCTTGAAGACGTGGAGGGACTCGATGAGCGCGCGCTGGGTCGGGTAGCGGTCGAGCCAGGAGAGCGGGAGCTGGCCACGGGGCGTGGGCGCCGACGGGGCCACCACCCGCTGCGCCAGCCGCGTCACGGTGGCCGCCGCACCCGCGCTCCTCATTTTGGTGGCCGCTCGCTCCCGGTGAGGAGGGATCTGGGCCGCGGCGGCGGTTGGGTGCGTGCGCTGGCTGGCCGGCTCACCTGGGAAGCAAGGTACGACCGGTGCCGGGTTTTATAAGGCTTTTGGTAAAATCGTGGTGTTGCCGCTACGACTGTTCTGTGCGTCGGCCATGAGTGGGTTTGAAAAGGATTGCCCACCGCACGATGCAAAGGTGAAGCAACTAGATGCAGCCATTGCGCATCTAATAGGAGCTATCACGAGCTACTTTGGAACATGCTTGCAAATGCCTTGCAACAGTAGTTAAACTTGTACTTAGTTTGGTTACTTGGTAGGTTATTTATAAAGTCTCAGTGAGTGAGTTCACCTGGTTTGAGTCTTTGAATAGAAAAATGGTGCATGCTTGTATTCTTTGCTATTTCTTTTTGGATCTGCCTATTTAGAACTCGAGTGATCTGTCCTCTCTGATCACTCAAGCAATTTAAGGGAACAAATCACACAAATGGAACGAAAATGAAAATATGAGTGATTGAGGACCTATGATGACACGAGTAATCCTAAAGGCCAAATCACCCGAAAATCAAAACAAGTTAAATTCGTGTGAAACAAACATTATTATCATTCAGATTATGCAACACCTACATCCACCGTGAATTGGGACAAAGAAAAACAAGAACAAATAAACATAATACAAAGAAATTATTACAAATACAAAGAAATCAAAAAAATAATCAAAGTTCAAAGAACAGAAAAATTCTATGGATTGCAAAACCAAAAATAATCTGAGGACATTGCATGAACCAAACAAATGAAAGAAAATAAACAAAGAACAGAAAAATTCTATGAACAAAAAACCCCAAATTTTTTCTATGAATTACAAATTCAAATAAATTCAGAGTGCACTGCTCATGCAAACAAATCAAAATAAAAGTACATTCAAACTAAATAGGTTACGAGGGCATTGTCTCAATCAAAATAGACCAAAGCAAACACAGTCCATTAAAAATATAAGCCAAACATGTGCCTAATAAACTTCTTTCACTTAGTACTAGTTACATCAATAATACCTATGAATTACACCTGATCAACTGCTGTAAGTGTAGTTCAACTCTAGTGTAAGTACAAATTAATCCATAGTAACATGATAGTAAATTAATTGATGAATGTATTTATCAGGTGGGGCCATTCTTTCTTACTATATACATATTTTTTTACTGAACAAAATCCACCTGACATGTGAGATAATGACGCGTCTCCCAAAATCCAGCTGCCATGTGGGACCCGTGAGCCAGGCACAAAAAGCAGCGCAAACGACGCACCGAAAGAGGGAGCACGAGCTGGACGCCACATATTGAATAAAGATCAAATCCGGCGGCCAAAAAATTATGTGTGATGGAGCCAAACGTTTCACATAAGCAAATGATAGCTTTTGTATTATTTTTTAGCAAGTAGAGCATCTCCAGTAGTTCACAAAAATTACTTTACAAATTAATGAATTTTTCAAGTTACTAAAAAAGTTAGAATATTTGTTAGGTTCCTCTAAATGTTTTCAAAATCTCACTACTAAAAAATAAAAATTGGTCCCACATGATGGGTTGTTGGCAGCACCTCGGTTTCTTGGAGCACACTTGATGCCCAATTCATCGTCGCGGGCTGCCAGTCATGTCACTGCCGCCCTAGTTAAGCCTCATAGCGCTAGCTAAATACATAAGTGAACAATGATTTGGAAGTATCTCAATTGACCTCTTGCTATTTTTCAGTTCATTCTTAATATACACTAGATTCATAAGCGTTGGAACAGGCTTGCAGTCACTAAGCCTAAATCGAATCAACCTTTCACATAGTGGGACTACAGAATTATAACATAACCATTACTTTCTCTTAACAACTTGATATTAAGAATAATATCAGCCACCCCCGAATCCTCCATCTCAAAAATTTTGGAAGTACTTCACCTCCTTAATCACATTAAGACCGGGTCCAAATATTAGTATATGTCATTAACATACAAACACAAGATCGCACCTTCACCCCCACCATAACAATGGTACACATTTGTTAGCTTTGTCCACAACAAATCTAGTAGATGTTAAGGTTCTATCAAACCTCTCATGCCATTGCTTGCGTGCTTTCACCAGACCATACAAATACTTCCATAGTTTACATACCATACCTTTCTTGGCCATTTGCTATAGACCATCTGGCTAATTCATATAGATCTCCTCTAGCTCTCCATTTTGGAAAGTTGGCTTATTGTCTATCTGATGAACGAGAAGACCGTGAGGGTGGTACTGTGTTGAAGTACACACGAAGCTCTGGCGTCTGCACCATTATATACGCGAGCGGAGGAGACCTTATATACATGAGCTGAGGAGAAGGCGGAGAGACTGGGGATGCACCTACACGCTATGAAGTTACTGGGACGATGGAGGAGTAATCGTGCAGCAACGAATAGAAACTCCCATGGTGATTACTCCCATAACTGCCCATTTTATAGCTCCATCAAACAGTCCAAGTGGCAAAACCCACTCCATTGCACGTGTGGCTAATCCTTTGTCTCTCAACTTCACAATAAGTGCACACATAGGTCACCTATTTAAGTTGAGTTAACATTTAGTCAAAATTGTATACGAAACTATAAGACTCTAATATACCTAGCATTTAATATGAGTATTAGGACTTATTTGATTTAATTAAATTAAAAGTAACCCAAGTCTAAATTAAATCCAACATCGATCCCATAGCAATAAGCCGTTATACTAGCTTCACCGGTTCTGACCGTCTTCATCACTTAGTAAGAAACCTGTTGGACAAAACCGTAGCAAACTTACTCTAAGCCTGGCAGCAACAATTCCAAAAGCACCGAACCCTAACATCTCTTTTCCTAACCTTTTCTCTAGTGATTTTGTTTTTTTATTATAAAAAATGTATATATGGCAAAATGATTTTGTAGTGCTTGCCTCGTTGGTACTATGACTATGACAGCAGGCGGTACTAGCACTATCGAACTGGCGCTCCGGTTCAAGCACCAAGCGCGGGCATTGAATTTTGCATACGTTTGAACCGGTATAACCGTGTGTCACCGGCTAGATAATGTTTACGCCGCGGCACGTACGAAGCATTTGTCAATGCCCCTGCGTGGCACTGGCAGCGCGCGTGTCTGCGACTCTGCGTGAGCGTTCTGGTCTTCTGGAAGCAAAGCTGGCGTGGCCATCACCGACACCAACGCATCCGCTATCTGACTTGGGCAGCCAATCGGAGCGAATAAATTTCTCCTGGCGAAGCAGTGGAGGCCGTGGAGCCCGTCAAAGGTCACGTACGCTCCGGACCAGAGCTCGATGGACTTCAGGTCTCGAATTCTTCTTGCTTTTGCTCCGATTTTCTGATGTCTTCTCGGTAAGGGAACTACAAAATTTTCGTTTCCCTCTCGTGGCCAACCATGGCGTCAGTGGTTAGTTGGAGCCTTGGAGGAAAATGGTTGGTCACCGCACCTCACCTTCCTTTCAGGGCCTTATCATTTTTTGAAGAAGCCAGCAGGTGTTCGTTCATTATTAGTAATAATAAATGAGTAAAATTTACAAGTGATGAGGTGATTCTCAAACTTGACAGGATGCCAACTAAAAAAACTATTTTCAGATCATAAACTTGGTTCTGACTGTCATCTAGGTTTTTAACTCAAAAATTATTATTTTTGATCTCTAAACTTGACTCCGGGTGCCATCCAAATCTAAACAGATCCTAACCTGCTCTGTGCGCTGGTGGCAATGTGTCATGTGGACTATGTGTTGATGTGGATCCACATGTGAAGCCTACATGTCATCTCCATCTCTCCTCTCCTCTGACGGTGGACGAGGGACAACTTTAATTGTTGCTGCTGCTAGGGTGGGTGGCGGGACATTGCATGAAGGGGATGAAGAGCATGATGAACAAGGAACAAAAGAAGGGGCACTAAAATGATGGATGGTGGGTGGGCGATGGTGTGTGCGAGGAAGAGAGAAGAAAGATGTATATGACACGTGGGCCCTGAATGATGGTCCATGGTAACATGCTAGGTTGGTGTATGGAACCATGTTAGGATTTGCTCAGATTCATATGACACACTGAAGCAAAATTCAGCGACCCGAAAATAACATTTTCTAAATTAAGGGTATTCTAAACTAAGTTTAGAGACCGATAATATTAGAGTTAGAGATGAAGATGACACATTGAAGAAACACCTGTGAATTTCACTCATTAACAAAGGAGACCTTATCATGGAAAATAAGGGTGTGTTTGGTAGAAATCTAGATTCTCGAAGAAACATTTCAGATTTAGATTCTCTAGTGATGAATCAAAATATTATAAAACCATTTGGTTGGTACACTGGATTCTAATTAAAAAATCATAAAATAAAAAAAATTCTTCAAAAAAATAAGAACTTTTTTAGGTGAAGAACAACTTAAATACAACCAATTTTAACTTATTTCACCTAAAAAGAATTAACTATTTCACCTAAAAAGGGGGAGGAGTTAACTAAAAACTAGCTAATAGGCGTTTCTCTTTGCAAAGGGGAGGAATTACAATCTTGAGTGAAACTTCTTGTCTAACCAGGCGTTTCTCTTTCTAGTAAGGCATGCAATTTTTTGATGGCATAAAAGCAATTTTTTTGGGTTTTGGGTATTTGAAATGTTTCTAATTAGTGTGATTCTCTCGAGTTTCTTACCCAACGTTTAGTTTTTTTTTTCGTCTAACCAGTTGGCAGTGATTCTACCCATTCTAGTAAGAATCAGAAACGTTTTTGTTCGCCAAACAGAATCTAAATTAAATATAGACGTGAGAATGAGATCCCTAAGCAACCCGGTGAAAACAAACATCACGTAGGCAGTCAGGGACAGCTTTCTTCAGCTGGTTGCACGAGCAGGTACTACCAAAAACGCAGGCGTAGAACTGTAGTAGGGCCGTGAACTTCGAGCAGTTTGCCGCCGTTGTTTGTTTATTAGCATTGTGTTTTCTCTTGGCTGAGA